TAATTATAGAGCATTGTGATGTTTATGAGAGAACCTACAGCATTGTTAAATGCTTCTCAGCTGATGTTTGGATAAAACAGGAGCTGAAATATTGTTTGGAACTCATTGGCTGAATCTTGGGCCAGATTTCCATTTCTGTACTTGTTTCCAATGGCTCTTTACTGAATCAGTGGGACTAGCAGGCTATGGAACCATACAGCATAAGGCTGTCAGCCATGGATAATGGTGGAGTTTGGTCTTCTGTGTGATATTTGCAGCTGAAGTAGTGAGTGGAAATTGAGAACTTTTTCCTGTTATCATTATGCAGAAGTAGGAACGAACAAAAACATTCTGCAAAACAAGTGGGTTAGACCAGTTCTACAGAGGGTGGCAGGTGGCGTTTGTGCTGCAACAGACATTCAAAAATACTTCTTCCAAGCTATTTCCCTGCACAAATACTGAGCCACACACAAATGCCCAACAAATCTGTCCTCAGAGTTTATGCATGGGAGGAACTCCACATAATGAGGAACACATTATTGGATATTTATTTGACTTCAAATGGTTTGACAACAATTTGATGGTGATCAGCTTACCAATGTGGGGAGACAGCTGTGTGTCATCTTCCCCATCCTCTCCAGTCTGTTGTCCTGGTGTCTGCATCCACTGCTCAGTAACTACACCAGGGTGTTCTCTTGTGTGGTTTGTGGCATAACAACTACTGATATAAATACAGCCAATAATGTAATTTATTTTACTAAAATAGATTTTTTTTTTTTCTTTTGTCTTTTTGATTCTTCATTAATATGTGTTGTCTTGCTTCTTGGTCCCACATTGTGCAACAGATTCTCCTTGTTATCTCTCCTACTAACAAATAATAAAAGAATGAATATGCATCACAAATTTTCATCATGATAACTTTGCTCAAAATGTGCTGCAACTTTGGCAGAACAGTTTGTGTTGCCTCTTTGGTATGATGACTGATGTTTTTGCTTACTTGGAGTCCTGTTTGATAACCTGTGAAGCTACCTCCACATTCACTGAAGTAGGGCTGAGCTTTTATTCCCTACAACTTGTAGATAGTGATTGAGATGCCAGCATAGCTAATGAAGGTCTGACACATCCTCCTTAGTTTTGTTTAATACTTTTCCTCCAAAAGTAGTTGCATTAAATGTGACCTTACAGTTTAACTTCAAGAAGTCTGTGTGATGTTCACCAATTAGTTTAATGTACTGAAATAGCAATTCCCATTTATTTTTAACCTTGGGGGAAAAATTTTGTTTTGTTTTTCTTATTAAATTTGCAATGCAAGAAAATGTTCCCTACCAAGCTTTAAGTATTAAGGTCAGGTTCTCTTCCACCCTTAAAAAGGAAATGGCAGTCTGACCTGCTCAATGTGGGGTGGGGGGAAGAAGGTTTTGGTGTGTTTTTCCTTTCTTTTCTTTTTTTTTTAATAAGTCAAAACATATTTGTTTTTGAGTTGGTTTCACTAGCCATATGTTGTATTTTGTAGGCTATTTCAAGACATCCCTGAACTATTCATCAAGCTGTGTCCCACCGAGAATGTAATCTTAAGGTCTCCACTGTTTATGAAGCACAGTCTATATTTTATCTCATGCTGAGAAAAGATGTGATAATGGTTGTTTAGGGATTATGTGAAAATGGAGTGAGGAATGACCCTTAAAAATTGGTAGGATGTAGGAGATTCCCAAATGAGACCAGGGAGGCAGGGAAGCTGTTTGAATTGCTACTGTTGAGGTTTTCTAATGAAGATCTCCTTTGCACTGAGGCTGGGCAGAATGAAGACTGGTCAGATAAAGAGGCTTTTTCAAGAAAATGCAATAAAATCGGTTGGGTTACAGAAACTGAAACTAAACATGTAACTCCAGTGACGGGATTTTGTTAGTGCTGCAGCCACAGAGTGTGATAAGGTGCTTGTGATGCTAAAGAGCTTTTGTGGATGGGAAGTGCCAGTTCTGGGAAGTGAAATGGAGCAAATGAGCTTTGGGCACAAGGCTAGCACAGAATCTCCTAAACAAGCCATCCATTGCAACAAGAGATACCTTACTTGGTTTTGGGTTCATTCTTGACATCTCCTTTAGCTTTGTTAGCTTACAAAATAAGTAGGTTTGTCAAAACCTTAGTGCTGGGGTGCAGAACTCTGTGTGGTCTGTGGCACTGTCAGGAGCAAGTGTGCTGCAGGTTCCTCTGGACAGTAGTGGATGGCTCTGTAGAAATATCTCTGACACAGTAGGACATTCTCTACATATGTTTTTCCCCCTACATTTTTAAAAAGAGAAATACACCAACGTTTCATTCTTTGCATTCTTTTTTGAAACTGCCAGTCTGATTTTTTAAGAGACTCTTGCTCAGGCTTATTTCTTCAAGGATCAATTCCATATTTGGATGTAAAATGGCAATAAAATGTTACTGAGTTTAATTTTGTTTGTTTTCCTTTCTTTTGATGAGATTTTCTGTAACTTAAGAGTAATTTAGACTCTGCTTTGTGAGATATTTAAGAACTGTATAGAGATCATTCTTCCTTTTCTGACATCCAGCTATTCAAATTGTAATAGTAAAGGCAACAGAGATTTAGTAAGTCATTCTGAGTGGTGTTTTAGGGCAGGAAATAAAGAATGCCATAATCAATTGAAATTCCAGTAGGGAATTGGGAGATGATGTACAGTTACCTGCAATAGTCTGGAAAACTGGAGTAAGTGCTCTCAACAACAAAAACACTACTGAGTCCTTAGTATGTAAAAGGCTGCTGGTGCTTTTGGTTTGTTCCACTAGAACAGGCAGCAGTCTTGGGAAGCAGTTTGTTCCCTAAGGCGATACCAGAAGAGATGGGAATGATGATTTGTTGAGTCATGGCCACCACCTTTTTCTGCACAGAAGTCATTTATCTAAAGTTATTTTACTTTAATATCTGAAATAAGACAAGCTGAGAATGCTTACTCTTCAGTTTTCTTCTGTGCTGTTGTATTAGCTATTAAAGACAGACAAGCAGAATGGTAACCTTTCTTTTTTTTCCATAAGGTGAAAAAAATTCATCTAAATTAATCAAGTTGTGATCTGAGACATAGACATATTAGGATTTATGCTAGATATGATAAATGAATTGGCTATTGGTAAAATCATATAAATCTGTGTAATTTGTGAAAGACTGCTTTAGACTGATGGCTAAGAGTTAATTCTGTTTATAAACAGAAGGATTAGATGCTAAAACTACATCTGTGCCACCTGTGTTGTTCTTTAAAAGTTTTTCTTCAGTATTCAAAGATGCAGGTAATATTTTAGTATCTTCACCAAAATTGGCTTTTCTCTCTCCTTTTTTAATTTTTCTTCCTGGGTTGTTGTCTTGGGATTTCAGAATTTAGACCATGTGTCTAGGACCATAGACAGAACTGGAAGCACCTTCTTGGTTATCAAATCTAGTTACCTGTTGAAGACAGTTAGCTCACAAGGAAGATCTGATGACCTTATGAAACTTCATTTTTAAAGGATTTCTCCCTGTTACTTCTATCGGGTGTGGTTCCAGACTCACTCTTGTGGCGGGTGAAAACTACAGTTTCTAGTATAAGTTTTTACTGGTTGGACCTGAATATTTTATTTTAAGGAGAAACAGCAGAAAAAGCTACTCTGATAAACCAATTTTTGTAATGTTGTCATCATCCTAGTTGCCCTTTTCTGCATTTATAGAGTGAGCTCATCTCTTTTGAGAATGAATGACCAGAACTGCACATGTAATTTTGGATGAAGTCTCCTCATATCCTGCTGGTGTTTCTGTCTTTTTAACAGCAGCAGCTCTTCTGATACATCCTTGGGTTGCATGTGCCTTTTCATGACTGCATTGCATTGCAGTGACCACGAACTACTATTAATTTGGTACTGGGGAGTCTCTTTCTCTCCTTGGTGCCCTTTAAAGTAGGAGCTCCCGGTAATTTTGTCTTGTTTCAAATGCATTGAGTTGTTTTGTTTGGTTGTGGTCCCTTCCAACCCGAACCATTCTGATTCTTCTGTTTCTCTTGTGGAAGGACTTGCCTGTAAAGTAATCTTGCATACTTCGTTTAAAATATTCTGAAATATTTTTTATTTTCTTCTTTTTTAGCTATTCTGAAAAATACTTTGTATACTCCCTCTGCTAGCCCATATGTTCTTGTTATTGTAACTATTATGTTGTAACTATTCTTCAACTTGCCTTTCTAGACCTCAATTGATCAAACAGCTTTTAAAGTACCCTGAAATAATGATGGACACTTTTTGGATCCTTATACTTTTGGATCAAGCTGAAATATTTGGGTATGCCATAAAAGCTTTGTAAGAAAGAAGAGAAGGACAGATCTTAATAAACAGCACTGAGTGGTGTTGAATTCAGAGCTTGGGAAGAGAGGAACAGCTTTTTATGCTCTCCCACTCAGTGGCTATCCCCAGTAAATTAGTTCTGGGGTCTTGTTCAGACAAAAAGGGCCTTTCTGGGGATCCCTGGGCATGCTGGGCACCTGCAGAGTTTCATTTGCTGTGGTTACTTGCATTGACACTGATAAGGAGCTGTCTTCTAAGGGAAATATTTCTCCTAGAGTTGTCTTGCCTTGGATCTTATCATGCAGTTTGTAAAGAGTGTGCTGAATGCTGGAGAAGGTATTTTATTGCCAGAGGTTTTTGAGGATGTCATCCTGTGTCAGCCTAAGCTGTTCAGAGGCTGCCTGCTGTAGTGCCATCCTTTTCCCCTGCATTGCAGCCCAGCTGTGCGTGCCACTGGCATGTCCGTTGTTGGGATACCTCCCTTTGTCAGAGCTCTTTTAGTGTCAATACAGGGGTGGCAGCTGCCTGAATGGGAGCATTGTTTGTGGGATGGCCTAACCTGTCTGAAGTCTGCGGGAAGTTTGGCCACTGAACTTGTTGAGACCTGGAGTTCGCTTGAAGGTTCTCCTAAGTTCCGCTTGGAGAGCAGATCTACGAAACTTCTTAGGTATGTAGTGGTGTTTACAAAGTACCTACTCATGCTGCTGGGCACCTACCTGCATTGTCTGGTACTAAACACAGTCCCTTTTCCCTGTTCTCTTCATGCTTCAGCTTCTCTAGTAAATGAGTCTTCAAGGCTTTCATGCTAGTGGTGTGACACACTTGCTTTGCCTAGGATTTTGCATCTTACAACATCCTGCTTCAGCTCTCAACCTGGCTGCTCACTCTTGCCTTAACTTTGCCTGCTGCTACTGCTGGTACAAGCATTTGTGAACTATGTGGTGAACCAAATGGGGGAGTTCTTCTGGCTGAAAAATAACCCATCTAATAACCGTGTGGCTACAGAGATGTTTGTTTCTGGCCTGTGGGAGGGGACAGCAGTGGAAAGACAGTGTCCAGTGATGTGGAGTCTGATTGCAGCAGCTGCTTTAGCATTGGTGCCGACTTCAGGTGTAGAAATAAAGTTTTGGTGTTGCTAGGCTGCATATATAAACTCAAGGTTGTTACGACTCTTTTATGAGAATGGGAGTTGAATGACCAAACTCAAAGGTTAGGACACTATTTCTGACAAATTACGTAGAAGGCAAGAGTTGGTTTTATTGTATCATAAAACAAGATTCATGCAGGAGCTCCCACGTGCCATTTTGTCATGGCAGATTGTTTTTTCAGTCTTTTCAGACAAAGAAGCTGAATGGTAGAGAGGACAGTTTTCTTCATTACACATTGCTTCTTGAACACTGACAGTGCTTTCAGAACTATTCAGAACATGGATGATGCAGTTATTGCTCCAACATACTGTTTTCTACAGTAGTTTTTAAGAGTGCGTACATACACCTGCACTGTCTTACAGTATTTGAATAGCTTAAGGAAACTGGACTGTGCACTTTTTATGCTTTGAGTGAAATGTAAGCCTATACCTTTGGCAGAAATTTGGCTTGGTTCCTCCCAAAAGCTGGAAGAGATGAGCCAACATATGCAGATCATTCCGCAGTTACTCTTGCAGGAGTTTGGTAAGGGTTTTGATTTTTGAGAGGATTTGAAACACTTGCGTGTTTCCCATTGAGACCCCAGGTTTTTATGGAAAACCTTTGTCGTATGCCTGGTTCTCTTTTCAGATACGTGCGTTTTACCAACTTTATCTTCTTACTTTGTGAGATTAGAAATGACATATGGGAGTGTCCTGTGACAAGCCTTCAGTAATGTGGGCAGCAAATCGCATCATGCCACAAATACCTTTTCATTTCTTTCTTTATTTCCCTATTTGCTCTGTAGCCGTGTTTCCTTGTCTTGCTTCCACATGCCATTGTTTCTCTGTAAAATGTACTGACTGTAGAGAACAGAGGGTAGGAGCCTTGTTTTGGGTCAAGTAAAAGACTTCTTGGGTCCCCAGAGCGAACTTTGGGTCCCCAAAGTGTTTATTTTCTGTCATCTAGATTTTAGATTTTACCAGTGTGATTTCTGGCGTATGCAGGTCTTCTGTAAGACTGAGGAAGTGAATGCTCAAAATACTTGAGTTAGTAAGACCTGGCAGCTCTGGGGGCAGCTCAACCCACACCACAGTGTAGGATTTTCTCATGAGGTAAAAAATGGATAAGGAGGGAGAAGGGAGCAACGTGTTTTGTATGGGTATGGTGTGAGATCTTGTTAGCGATAAGTGTGTTTGTCTTGTGAGACAATGGGCAGTGTTGAGCTGGATCATGTCTAAAAAAATGCAGTTTCTGCATTTTAGACATGGAAAATTTCGTAATTGTATCTTAAGTTCAGGTGTGCTGTGGGCAGCTGCTAATCCTGTTAGCTACCCAGTTTGGTGTTTGAGAGCCCTGAAAACTTGCAAAGGTTCTTATTCAAAGAAAATAAAGCATAAGAAAAGGATTATTGACATAGCTGAATTATTATTTTAGTGCATGTGTTTGCCCAGTAGACTGTAATGGATTTGAAGTAGTTGTTCTGATACACTTGGTAAATTCTTGGTCCATTCTGGTACGCCTGGTTGTGAAAACACTTATTTCTCAATGCCACACAGCTGCTCTTGAAGTGTCAAGAATTGCCCTGTCAAGTGTTGGCCTTGTTTGTCCAAAGTAACATAATTGGGCTGTAAGACATGTTTCTTGTGATTGTGTGCTTAATTGACTATGCAGCAGTATCTCATAAAGAACCACTTCTATTTAAATACCTATTGAAATATTTTCTCTATATTATTCAGTGTTGATACCAGGAAAGGTTGCTCTCACTTTTTTCCTTGGAAAAAAAGAAAAGGCTCATTTGTACAGGATAAATGTGAATGAAGTTTCAGCTTGCTGCAAATTCTCTTGTCAGCTACAAGCCACTTGAAATGGTTTTGTAATGGAGATGTTGAAACACAATGGGTGGTGGAAATGTTTCTGTTTATTATTAATTGACTCAGTATGTCTCTCTTGCTTAAAATGCCAGTCATTCAAGGCTGGAGTTCAACCACTACCTGATGTGCTTGCTTTCTGGTGAGTGCAGTGGAGCTGAGCTGAGCTGTATATCAGGGTATGTATATGAGTGTTTGGAAAACAGGGTTAACTGTGGCTGAGTGTCTCCTACATTTTTTAGGTCTCTGGGCTCATTTAACCTCCTCTTCTTTGCAAGACAGAGCACAACTCATCTGCAAGAACAAAAAGAAAAGTGTGTGTGCGCATCCTTTTCCCAAAAGATATAAATAGTCTAAAAGAAGGATTGTATGCTCAGCAGCTTGATAGATGATGCTGAGAACTGATGTACTACAGACATAGGCATAATACTTGAGTACTTTCTTGGTTTTGCTTTGTTATTTAAAGGAGGGGTTAAGTTCAGCTCTCTGGAGTCTCAATACTTTTGAAAAAACAAATATTAGCAAAGTAATCTCTGAGGTTTTGTCTTGCAGTGCATGTTGCTCTAGACTGAGCAGAGGGGAGCTGGACATAGCTTATCAACAATGTTTAAAAACAAAAAAATTCTTATCTATTGATTGATAGAGTTGTGATTTCTGCCTTATTGCCATAACAAGCTGCAGCCTCTACATGGTGCAACGGCTACTTGAGAGACCTGTTCGTTTACTAGTTGAACCCTTTGTGAGGTTTTTTGCCAACTCAGGTTTTGAGAACATTCTGAAGTTGTCTCCCTACAAGGTGAGAATAGAAAAATCTCATTGGTAGGACATCACAGAATCTGAACAGAGTAAGGGTGAAAGAGGAATTGGTTTAATCTTCTCCCAGTTCCCTCTTGTATTTGGCAGACAGGGAAGAGATGGCACAAAACCTGCAGGCAGCTGCTTCTGCAAGTGCCTGAGTAAGGATTTCTGAATTCCTGATGCTGAGGTGTAAAAATTAAGATACTTCTCTTTGTCCTCAGCTCCCTATTCACCTGAGATCTCACAAGCTCCTTCATTCTGGAGCTCTCAGAAGCATTTGGTGTCATTGCAGTCAAGCTTTTTTCTCCTTCCTCAAGTTTTGTTCCCTAACCTGTAACATGGAAAAAAAATAATTACATTGGCTCAGTTCCCTTAGCTGTTTGTATCACAGAAATCAGAATTACTGCAGACTCTAGGAGGAACCTACCTTAGACATTAGGAAGAAATTCTTTAGTGTGAGGGTGGTGAGACACTGGCGCAGGTTGCCCAGGGTTATTGTGGCTGCCCTATTCCTGGAAGTGTTCAAGGCCAGGCTGGATGGGGCTTGGAGCAACCTGGTCTGGTGGGAGGTATCCCTGACTGTGGCAAGGGGTTAGAACTAGGTGATCTTTAAGGTCCCTTCCAACCCGAACCATTCTATGATTCTATGATACTAGGTTGTGCCTATTATTCCATCAGCCTAGAAAGTACACCTGCAATGGCCAACTGCAAATAGTAGATGAACTCTTAGCTGTGTAGCAGGAACCACTGTGGATTATGAGGACTTGCTAAATGTACTGAAGGTTACGAAATAAACAGGTTTGACAGCTCCGGATTGGGCCATTCTTGCCTCAGTTCAAGAATCTCTATATAAGAACACAAAAGCGTCTAACCCAAGCTTAGCAAAAAGCCTGTGAATGTTTCTAGAAGCATCTTTGATTGAAAAAATCTAGATGTCTTTCTGTAAATTTTCTCATGTATGTATGATCTCCATTGCTTTTAAGTGTTCCCTTGCCATAAATCAAGAGTCATTCTGTTTCTGTAAGTTAATTTCCCTCTGAGATCAGAATTGAGGAGCAAGTGAAAACATTTTTTTTTCCCTTCTTTTTCTTTTTTTTTCTTTTTCTGATTCTTTCCATTCCATTTTTTTGTGCTTCAGGTCTTGTCTATATGTTGGAGGCTGATTATTATTTTTTTAATCTAACCTGTTTTTCCATTGTAGAGAGGATAATTTGTTTTGCATGTTACTTAAATAACAGAAACATCTTGGTTATAAAAGCTGCAGAAGATAGGTTTAGAGATTCTAAGTATTTGATAATGTTTAAAAAGTATATCTACTAAAAGTAACCTTTGTAAAGAAGGGTAGTAACTCATTCTGTAATATTCCTAGTCAAAAGCAAAACCTATAAAGCTTATTTTTTCAGTTATGCAACCATTAATCATTTCAGAAGTCCTGCAAGTTTTTGCTACGCTCAGCAGAATCTTAAGATTTTAAAAGAAATAATATCTTGTACTCCTGCTTGTGAAAGTAGCTCTTTATTATGTTTTGTTTGCATTCTTGCAAGCCAAGCTAGAAAAGTAAGCAGCACCATCAAGCTATGCTGATCTTGTGAGCCATTTTCATCTGTTCAGTGTTGAAGAGGCTTGATTCCTTATCTGCCCTCATCCCTCCATGAAGTGGATGTGTGGGGAATGCAGGACTGGGCACAAATCTTGCACTCTTTGAAGACACTTTGTCCAAAACACTCACTCAGTTCCAGTGAGTGTAATTTAGTTGATATCTAACAGCTTTCTGGGGAGGAACCTCTGCTTGTTTTCTGCAGTGTACCAAAAGCATTTTTAGTATGATCCTAATGTCCTTGAACGCTGACATGAGGGCATCTAGTGCTATTTGTGTGTTGATGGTGCCAAACCATCTTGATGCTTTATAATTTGCTTTCCTCAAAAATGTGGTGGTGTTCCAGACTGCTTAGGGACTGAGCCATTTCTTTAATATTTCATGAGGATGAAAGAGATGAACAAGACAGATCAAACCAGTGTCCATGGAAATGAAAATGAGAATACTCATGGTTATTATCTGGTCATGGAAGACCAGGAGACTTTATTGTTCCTGGAGGTGTTGTGATTGCTTTTGTTGGTGACCTTACTAATAGTCTACCCTTCTTGTCATCTCATGTATAACTCCCTGGGCATTTTCTATTGAGATCTTCATCTAGATTACCTGTTTTCAGGATACAAGTTGAAAATCCATATATGCTTATGAAAAATTGCAGATTTATGGCTCCTAATTTAAGGAAACTCATGGACACCTCTTTTGGCCGTGACTTGAAGAGAAGTTAAGTAGGTGGTTTGATGCTTTGCTTGTCTGAGGAAAGCCATGTGTGATGTGTTGGCTAACAAAAGACGCACTGAATGATGTCCTGCTTCCTTAATAAGACTGTCCTTACACTAAGGCAAGTAGAAAGTAGTTGGACCTGCAGAGAAATGGAAAGATCACCTGAATTGGTGTGGTCTGTGTGCCAGAGGGAAGCTCAGCAACGCCAGCTGTGGTGTTGGGTGTCCCCATGTGTTGCCTGGGATGTCTGGATGTTGTAGGGATTGGGTCTCTTTGATAAAGTCACATAAATAGCTGCATCCCTAAAAAAACCAACAACCAACAACAACCAAAATAATGATGCATTTTTTTTATGGTTACATGGTGAAGTATATTTTTTCTTAGTCATGTCTTGTTTTTTTTTGTATGTGTTTATATTTGCACTGAATACTGTGTAAGATCAGTGGTTTGAAGGAGTTTTTATAATGTAAAGGCCACCTTTACTGGAGTCTGCCTGCCTGATGTATACATGAGTTTTGACTTCAGTGGTCTGTAGAGAAACCAAAAGGAATTTTGTTTGAGAGGAGTCTGGTAGATGGTTTTGTACCTTCTTCACAAATGAGATGGACATAGATAACTGAGTGTGCTTGTCCATCACTGGGATAGCAGCTGCATTTTGTTGGGGCAAGAGTGATGGATGTGCTAGGAGGTGAGCTTGGGACCTAACTGTATTAAAAATTGAATTATTTTTTGAGATGGAAGGGAGGCAGGATTTGGACTGTCCTTTGCTGGTCCCATAAACCCCCTTTTGAATTCAGAAGAATTATTTAAGAATGAACGTGAGGGTGGTTGATAAAGAGTGAAAGAACTTGATCACCTGATATGGTATTCCCATAGCGAGGTGTTGACTCATCTTTTTTTGTATGGAAAGCTATTTTCCAGCCTTAGAAACACAGGTTCCAGTTTGGTAAGGTAAACCCTCTCCAAGGAGGGATTTTTTCCGTAGTCAAGTCCTGTGTAAACTTGAAATGTCTTTGATTTATGGGAGAGGGGGAGGTGAAGTAGTTCCAGGTGCTACTGTCTGTGCACAGTGTCTTGTAGATTGAGACCCTGTTCTGTTGGTCCTTAGGCAATACCATGGTAAAAAACCCCATACAATACAAACACCTGCACTTGGATCCACCTGCCAAGTGCTGTAGCTTCACACTCCCTTTTCTATAATTTAAAAATAGGAAAGAGGAGGCAGGGTTTTTTTTTCCTTTTTTTTTCTTTTTTTTTTTCTTCCCCCCCCCCCCCGCTCCCTGTGCTCTGGTTGCTGTGTTGAGAGAGACACATAAACAGCACAAGCTGCCAAAATGAAGGAGGCAGTGAAACTGTCCTTATGTACCAGACTGAAGCTTGCACAGACAGGTTAGGGAGAGGAAGGAGAAAAGCCTTTCCCTGCCTTGCATATAGTGTTGCTTCTCCTACAGTGGGGAGCTATGTTATTTTCATAAAAAAGCATACTTCTTGAGCTGATGTCCCAGTAGCTTCTGAATTTTGGGCTTAGTGTGCAAAAAGGTTTGATCTTTCCCTTCTCAGAAAAATTGTATTTAGATGTGCTTGATTTTCTCACAAAAGGTATTCTGGAGCAGGAAAATGTCCAAGTAGATTCAGGATTTGCTCTTCAATGTTTGGCAGCTGCTGCTCAAGATCCATTTTGAAACTGTGTTTTATTTGCATTAAAACAAAAAAAGCTTTTTTTTTTTTTTAATTGTAAGATACAATTGTGTTTGTTTTGCATTTTTTAATCTTGAAAACAGAAGCTGGGTGAAGCTGGTTGCCTCTGGCCAGTTCTGACTCTCTTAAGTACTGGGACCAATTTAGTTGGGGGTAGGTCAGCAGAGTGAAAGATTTAAGTTCCTTCACAACCAGGTCAGTATTGTTTCTCTTAACTTGTTTAACTTTTGTGCAGGTTTTCTGAAGGTACAATACAGCTTTGCCCTTAATGTACAACTGTTTTGGCTTCAATATAACAAAGCTATAAATAGACACCCCCTTGCCACCCCAGCAGTAGGAACTGACTGCAGCAGGTGTTGTCCTCTGCTACAAATTTGCACATTATTGGTACCCAAGTACTTACAAAAAAAATTTAGTTTCTTAACGTGTGTTCTTCCTTTATTAAATACCAACTGACTGGTCAGCAAGCATCTTGTTAAAATGTAAAATCTTCATTAAGACAAAAGAAATAAAACCAGAACAGTACTTTTTGTTTATTTCCATGCAGCCTCTGTGTAAAGTATATTTTGTCTGAAATTTTAGAAGTATTAATGGAAGGCAGAGGAGAGCTGCATAATGCTGGTCACTGGTTAAAATAGTATTTTGATTCTTTTAGCTGTGTTGGGCTGGAGTTTAGCTCAGGTTTCTTATAGCAGTTCCTCCATGGTGACCCTGTTAGATGCTTAGAAGGCTGTGAGCAAAATTTGTATCCCTGCTTGTGCTGTCATGTCCCTTGCACTGTGGGGGCTTTTTGTGCAGCAGGGTAGTCCTCAGAGTAAATAAAGAAGCTGTGGATGCCCCCTCCTTGGAAATGGTCAAGGCCAGGTTGGGCAGAGTGCTGAGCAACCTGGTCTGGTGGGAGGTGTCCCTGCCCATGCAGGGGGGTTGGAACTAGATGATCTCTAGGGTCCATTCCAGCCCAAACCAGTCTGTGATTCTGTGATCTTGCAGTCTGGTCCATGCAAAAGGAGTTTGATGGTCTCAATACACAAGGTTCCCCTTGACACAAAATGCATCATTGTGTTTGGATTAATTTTCATAGCTCTTTGGGCGGGGATTAAATGCATTTGTGCTGCTGAGATTGTTCCCTTTCAGCCATGGTGGGGAGCTCCTTCCTCCTTGCCACTGTTAAGTGCTGAAGTGAGATCAAGGGGAGATGCACTGTGTACTTCCCATGTATGAATACACACAAAAAAGGAGGGTAATCCTGTGTTTCAGTTACTATTGAACATGTACCTGCCTTCATACCCCTTCTTTTCTCCTGCAGATGTGAGAGCTGCGTGGAGCTGCTGTTTGTGAGAGGGGCTGGGAATTGCCACGAGTGTGATACCCCCCTGAGGAAGAGTAACTTCAGGGTACAGCTTTTTGAGGATCCTGCTGTTGACAAGGAAGTGGAAATTCGGAAGAAAGTGCTGAAAATGTGAGTGTCACCAGTTCAAAGAACAGAAGGCAGATGCACGTCAGGGATGACCGTTTTAAAACATTGACTTACTTCTCCAGTAGTACAGAGGAGATGATTTTTCTTTTTTTTCAAGTGACACCCATAAAACTTGACTCCATTTAGTGTGGAGAGATTTCAGAGAATTTACTTTATGCAACAAATTGAAGGCTGAATTCTCAATTTAGCCTTGAGGGATTCCAGTTTAGCATTAGAACATGTTGGGTGTTTCTGTGTAGCCTCCTTTGACAAAGACTTGCCTCCTAAGTCATTAGATATTGAGGACTACAGCTGCTTTTTCTTTGTGGGGGTGAACATGGGAGTGAGGCAAGAAACAGGACACTGATTGTTTTTTTCTCTGGGGACCTGTGCTGAGACTTGAAGGCCAGTTCCCTTCAAAAATGAAAATAGACAAAAGAGAAGCTATGTTCACATTGTTTTTTTATTTCATACAGTAATTGTTAGTGGAAATGCTTTCTCCCAAGCTTTGTGTTGCTAGTCTGTTGTGCAGATTTGAGAGCTCTTGGAATTGAGATAAATGAGGTCTAAAGTTGTGTCTCACTCCTTGTGGCCAAGAAATAACATTTTATAAAGAAAACTGGTGAGCCAGTTGGTGTTTTGGTAGAAGAGGGTCTGGTGGAATGTATCCTGGAGAGAGTTGTGTGTGCAAAAATGAATGTAAAGGTAAATTGTAAGCTTGGCAGCCTTTATCTAAGACTTAGTACAACATTAAATTAATCATAAGATTTTGCTGAGATCTGAGAAAATTGTATCATTGTATACCAAGATGCCAATGTGGAAAGTAGCAGTAATTTTGATGTTTGATTATAAACTCTACTGAAGTTAACAGAAGTCAAACTGGAATGAACTCAGTTGACTACACAGAATGAAATGTAGCTAAAATAGAAAACATAAAATACAGGTCCCACTTGGATTTGCCAGATTAGTTTTTAGTAGGCAAAAAAAAGTGCCCCCAAATTGGAATTTGGCCTGAGTTCTCAGGATTACATTTTTATACTCCTGGCTGTCATGATCTTGGTCCACAGAGCAGGCAGAATCTCAGCTTTGTTTTCTTGGGAAGAAAGCTTGCATCTCTTGACTTTTCAGAGGTTATTTGTGTTCTAGGTGGTTGCCCCTTTATCTTTTTACATTTTCCAGCTATCAAGAGTTGGATAAATGAGTTTCTGGAATGGTCTGTTGATACGTAATAAGATAATTGTCAGTTTGGTGCTGACATAGCCTTCCTGTTCTTGGCACAGAGCCAACCTGCCATTTCTGATACTTCTAGAAAACCTTTTCTTGTGGGTGTTGCTGTTGTCTCTGCCTTTGTTAGCAGGTTTCTCATACTGAAGGGCTGGCTTTATCCAAGCCTCTGTGCTCCTTGTCATCTGTAATCCTGGGGGAAGAAAAAAAAAAAACAAAAAACAACAAACAAAAACCAAACAAAACAGTGGGCAAAGGTAGCACCTGCTTATGCCAGGCTGGTTCCTTTCCGTTGAAATGGGCACTTCTGCCTCCTCCTAAAGATCCTGTATATTGGTCAGTTGTGGGAGCCACCAAGCATGTTATTGATAAAACTAGGTCCATACTTAATATGCTTGAAGCAAGAGCCTTGTTGAGTTGAAATTGCATCTTTGTGTGTTATGTAAATATTTGTTTCTCTTCTCTCAAAGATACAATAAAAGAGAGGAGGACTTTCCCAGTCTAAGGGAATATAATGATTTCCTGGAAGAAATAGAAGAAATTGGTAAGTCTTAATGCTTGCATTTTTGATGTGCTGTGCTCATGAGACCATAGGCTTTTATCTTCTGACTCGGCTGCCTGTGAGAATGTCCAAGTTGAGTTTCTGCAACAGGATTTATCATAGTATCAGATGTTTATCTAATGACTTTTTTCTATACATTTTAAATCATATTTGCTGAACTGTAGGACATTAAGTAAAACATTTTAACTGCCAGAGAAGAGACATGATTTGAAGAGGAAGCAGTGCTGTAGAGATGGAAAAGAAATGCTTGCAGGGCACTGTCAGTGCTGCACTGAGAAGGATTAAACAAAGAGGAGAAATTGAAATTTTTGTTACATGCCTCCTTTAGCTTCATCTACCATGACAGAAGCCATATGGTGTCTTTCATCATTTTTGCTTCTGCGAGTACAGTAGTTGAAGCTGCTTTGAAGCTGATGACCTTACATACCACTGTGGTAGCAGTTAATGTTGCTGTGCAGAAGGAGAAGGTTTAGGAACAGACACTGATTTCTTTCTCTTTGGATTAGTTGAAGCAGAACTTTGCCCTTTGGAAAGGGACTATGTTATCAACAGAGTTTATTTTCTTCTTAGTTAGGGTGACTTGTGTTTTATGGTGGAGTGATGGATTTTGCCTAGAAAAACAAAGATGCATTCAAAAGAGTGACTCCTAAATGATTTGTTTTATGAGCTTCTGAGACTTTTCTTGTTTTGTGCTGGAGGAAGAAGAGGTGGCTTAGAACATACAGGATGGGCACTGAATATGATTTGAGGGCAAACATGGAAATGCCACTTCCCTTTGGTTTCTCAAAGGACCTGTTACTCCTCTTTGCACTGTGATGTTTTGTGGAAATGTATGCAATACACTTACTGCTGTGAATTATGTGACATGTTTTTGTTGGCATCAGAAGGCAGAGGCTAGAGAGCTAAATGGTGTGGCTGGGAAACACCAGGCACACTCATACTGGTCCAGGTACCTGTAGGAGAGGATGTGGGTATAGTTCTTTTTGTGTGTTTTTTTGGGATGGGGGGAGGAAAGGTGGGGATGAGTAGAAAGAATGGTTGCATCCTGGCCAGAGGATCCTGGAAGAATCTGTGGCTCATGGAGAGGAAAACTGCTTTTTATTTATGTAGCATTAAAGATAGGTTTCCCACTTGCTGCTGTTGCAGGGGTTTTCAGCAACTGCAACAAGGGAGTTGAAGTTTTGCCTGAAATTGCCTTAATGTCATCAATTTGTACAGAATGTTATGATTCTCCAGCTCTTGGGATTAAGTTGTTAGATTTCAAATGGATCCAGTGCCTGCACTGGTAACTGTGGTTTAGAAGCAGCAGAAATCACAGCTGGTTTTTGTAACCTTGTGCAGAAGAGTGAATTTGTCAATAATTGTGCTGACCCTGCAAACGTGTAGTGAGCAGCTTGATAAAGTTGTGTAGGAATTGGAGTTAGTTGCCTGAAAGGGACACCTCAAATACTAAAAGGAAGTCAAACTACCTCCTAGTTTCCTCATGTAGCATCCAGGGTGCTGAGAAGAGTGAAAGGGTGCAGGCAGAAGGCTCTTAATTTTCTCTGTCAAAAGGATCATTTATGATCTATTAACTTGAGGCAGACCCAGAAGCTGGAGGACAGGTTAGATTTGGGAACACCAGCTGGGAAAGGATTTAAACCCTGTTCTCCTTTCCCTGGTGACAAAGCTCATTGCACACATCCTGCCCTTCCTCAGCCCTTCCTGGCCTGTGTTCCTGGGCAGAGTCCTTGATCTGACAATTCTCTGGGATGTGTTTTTGTTGTACATGGCCCAGCTGAACCGTGTGCTAAAGGTGTCTTTGACTCTGCGTGGTTACTTCAGGTTTTACTGCTGAGAGTATTTGTATCTTTTTTTTATGTGAATGTGAATTTCCCTGCTCATTTGTGCATGTGAAAAAATAACCTGCAAGATGGGAAAGAAGAGGAGCAGTTATGCAGTGCAAAGTTTTGCCTTGTGGAGCCAATGGACAGCAGGTTGGCAGTGGCTGGTGGTGGTTGTTCAAACTGCCAGGCTAGGAAGCTGGAGAGGCAGAGAATTGGATTTCCCCTTTCTCTCCCCATCCCACATTTTAAGTGCAGCTTTACCCTGTTAGGTTTGTTTTTTTTTTTTTTGGTGGTTCGTTTTGTTCTCTAAGTTGTTTTGGGGGATTAATGAAAGTAATCGCTTGGCAGAGACAATGTAAACATCCTGTGTAAGGATACATCATATGACCCTGGCACAACATTTCCCAATGTTTCAGATAGGTCGGCTCTAACCTTTGTAGCAATTGCACTGTCTTGTTTCATTGATGTGATATATGACCTCACTTGAATCACATTTTCACCCTTCATATCAGGATTGTTATACCTACAGACTTTTTCTATTTAAATAAAAGAATTGGGTGGTGCAGCAGAAGTGTGCAAGGGGAAGGTCAAACAAACATTAGGTAGTCACCTCTTAAGATTTCTATTATAAAAAACACATTTTTGAAGTGGTTTAGAATGTAGCCACGAAATAATGCTCTGGGCTAAAATGTGTTATACAAGGCTTTAAATGGAAACCACATTTTAAAGCAAGTTTTACCTAAAAGAAAAATCAGTTGGACAATTTGAGAACATTGTAAACACAGTTTGTTGTCATTAACACTAAGAAGAAAAATAAAGTGAAAGGGTTAAAACCTGCCTTTGGAAAATGTGTGGACAAGATCTATGGGAGTCAGTCAGGTCTGTCCCATGTGATGAGAGGAGCAAGGTTAAACTGTAGGGTGTTTCTACAAGTTACAGTCTCTGGACATAATGCAAATTTTGCTCTCTTTTCCCTCAAAGTTTTCCTTCCTTTTTCCCCTCAAAGTTTTTCTTTCTCCACCCCCTTCCTCCCCCCCCTGCCCCAGGGCTTTTCCTTCCTTTTTATCCCCCAGGGCTTTTCCTTCCTTTTTATCCCCCAGGGCTTTTCCTTCCTTTTTATCCCCCAGGGCTTTTCCTTCCTTTTTATCCCCCAGGCCCAGGGCTTTTCCTTCCTTTCCATCCCCCAGGGCTTTTCCTTCCTTTCCATCCCCCAGGGCTTTTCCTTCCTTTCCATCCCCCAGGGCTTTTCCTTCCTTTCCATCCCCCAGGGCTTTTCCTTCCTTTCCATCCCCCAGGGCTTTTCCTTCCTTTCCATCCCCCAGGGCTTTTCCTTCCTTTCCATCCCCCAGGGCTTTTCCTTCCTTTCCATCCCCCAGGGCTTTTCCTTCCTTTCCATCCCCCAGGGCTTTTCCTTCCTTTCCATCCCCCAGGGCTTTTCCTTCCTTTCCATCCCCCAGGGCTTTTCCTTCCTTTCCATCCCCCAGGGCTTTTCCTTCCTTTCCATCCCCCAGGGCTTTTCCTTCCTTTCCATCCCCCAGGGCTTTTCCTTCCTTTCCATCCCCCAGGGCTTTTCCTTCCTTTCCATCCCCCAGGGCTTTTCCTTCCTTTCCATCCCCCAGGGCTTTTCCTTCCTTTCCATCCCCCAGGGCTTTTCCTTCCTTTCCATCCCCCAGGGCTTTTCCTTCCTTTCCATCCCCCAGGGCTTTTCCTTCCTTTCCATCCCCCAGGGCTTTTCCTTCCTTTCCATCCCCCAGGGCTTTTCCTTCCTTTCCATCCCCCAGAATCTTGTAGCCAGTTTTCCACACCCGGTGTCTCAGCTCTCCAGATGAAGGCCTGCCTCCCAACCTGTGTCTACACACAACCTGGCACCACAGCTCCTGACACCTGAATGAGGCCCCTGGCCATGACCACAACACAATTGTTAACAGTAATTAGTGCTTTTTAAAAACATCCAGTACATTCAATTTGGAAGGAGGCTACTGTGTTTGTGCCTTTGGATTCCTGTATCTCATTACTCCTCTGAAGCTACACAATATTGGCTGCCTGGTGACATGTCTTCCTCAAAATGCTTATCTCACAAGTGATCCTTGGATAGGAAGGATTTTGGTGTCTGTGATCACTTGTGGGTTGTGTTTTTAATAGTTTTGTACCCCCCCCCCCCCCTCCTCCTGTGTTTGTGTTGCTGCTCCTGACAATGGGAATAACCAACTGGAAATAAGGTAGCTTTGTGAAAGATCCATTTCAGTCATCTCACCTGAACAAAGATTTCAGTACCATGCTGTTCCAGCGCAAATTATCTTTGTTAGACTGAAGGGGGCTGAGTGATTTCAATAATTTATTACTATGCTAAGGAGTTTTTCTGGAAAATTAATAACCCAGTAAAAGACAACTGAGGATAAGCAGAAATAACTGTTAATGTCTATCCAGATTTCTCTGGCTTAGCTGTGAGGTGTGTTGGTTTTTTTTCCTGATAACTATTTTGTTATAACCACAGAAATGCTAATTGGAAAAGAGCGG